AATTTTTTTGAGAAATGACAAAGTGGAAGGCTTGCACCAAAGGCAGAAAGCTGCTGTGCTGACATGACTTTTAAAAGTCTGTGCTATACCAGTAAGACATAAGGAGTCAAAGAAAGGAAATACTGACATGGGAAATAACAACTGAGAGTGGGAGGAATCGATTAAACCACTGAAGAATGGTGACAGACTGGTTTAAAATAGCCTGGAGATTGAGGCAGCAGAACAGTAAAGGTGGGGTTGTGTGAGTCATACTTTGCAACTCTACTCACTTTACTAGAAATATCAAAAACATCTCCAAAACAAACAAAAAGCCAAAACCACAGAGGCTTCAGATGCTTCTCAGCAGAAGCAGCAATTCAGGTGGAGGGTGGAATGAGAGGGACGAGAGCTAATGAGGCCTCCAGCCCACTAAAGAGCATCACTGAACCCTAACCCACTGTACCTGCCATGGGGTCACAATGCCTGCGTGATTATTTCAGTCTGTTCTGAAAACAAAGCAGTGCATTAAAATCTTCTTATTTAAGGAAGTGTCAGCAAATATTTAAAATATTGGAAATAGTGCATTTAAAGTAGAGAGAGTAAATAAGCTGGCTGTATCAAGCACCATAGGAAGCCTTTGGAACTATAGGCCCAGCTTGCTGCCATCATTGCTGAATAAGTCAGGAAATGACCTCATTCTACACCTAGAAATACAAAGTCACACTCAAAGATGAGTTCCCTGGGCTAACGAGCGATCATTACGGTGACTTTCATATTGATTATTCCAAATATCTGCAGTAAAATTAAATTGTGATTACAGAGCAAATGGAAAATGTATCTCTTGCTAATTGTAGGCACAAATGTAATGAGCTGCCAGAGTCATGAGCATAAGTGACTGCAATGATTTGCATTTTCAGAGCCTGTAAAGCTCCAGGATGAATGGCAAAACTCTAAGTATAGGCATTATTAAGTATAGATTGCACTTCAGTAGACCTACACCAGTCGTAACACTACTGAGGAATGCCAGCTTTTGCTACTTGACCTGCCACTTCTGTTTTCTTACTCAAAGAATTCGCATCAAGGGTATTAATTACAGAAGTCAGAACACAGAAACAATGAACACTGACGGAAATTCTCAGCTCCCTCGAAGGAGAAAGGAAATAATGTAAGAATTTTCTTCTTTCATTTAATGCCAATTAGCAAAGCATGGTTGAGATTAATCATAGAACTGAAACACAATTAAACATCACTACAATAAATTACTATTATGGTTATTATTTACAACTTGGCTGTGGCTAATAACCAGTGAGACTGATGCTCATTACAACAGATAATGTATAATTAGCTAATATTAGATATTTGATGTACTAAATGGCTGTCATAGATCTCGTCTTAAAAGACTGTCACTACATTTTAAAGTTACTTAAAAATAATAAAATACTATTATAATAAAGTACAGCATAATGAGTAGGAGAAAAGAACAGGTTCTAAAAAATGGATGAGACATTGCTTGGTAAGTTGACCTTTTAGAAATACCCACTCCTTCACTTATCTTCTAAACGAAAGGCAGGATTATTTTAATTCCAGTTAAGGAGGGCAGATATAAGTGCTTATAATTAAAAGTCACTCACATTTGAGCCAGCTACAATTTTGCTATTATAACATAGAATAACACTTGAGTTAAGATTGCATGACAAATACCATTCTTCTCCGTTATATTCCAAGTTCTTTGTTCTGAACTATTTAAATTGTGACATAACTTTTTCCCACAAGACAGAGACCTAATTCTTCAAGAAATATTATAAAGGAACAGAAGAAAAAAACTTCTGTTCAAAAGAAGATCCTACCTACATGGAAATTTAAGTGCAAAACCACCAACAGTGTTCTTTTCTGAGAGGAGAAACAAACTTCTTCCACAATATAGGAGAAGATCTTCCTAAACTCTTTTCTAAAGAGTTTTAGCCATGGAAAAGAGCAGAGAACTGAAAGCTGGAATATGACATAAAAATAATACTCACTAAAAAGAAATGCCTATGATGGCTTTATCAAAATGGTTGTAGAAAAGTTTTGCGGAAGTGTCTGTGTACATGGCTGAACTGGATTTTTCCCTAAGATTCTGAAGGGCACAGCTAAGGAAGATTGCTCTGAACATCTGGGTATGGCTACCTGCACAGGGAGAAGGAACCCAAAGCCACACAGAAATTGGCTGTACTGGCTGCTGTGCTAAGTTGTTCCTTCCTCAAGGAAAACCAAATCTACTATTTACAACACTTACAGGGGATAGGTCGCTGAATGGCATGACCTCTATGTTTATCTGCTAATTTTCTCATGGTTGGTTTAGGATTCAACAGTTCTGGAGTTGGCTACCTTTACTTCTTACCCAATTGTTTTGTACTCTTCTTGCTGGGTATCAGTGATAATCTTTTAAAGGTGCTGTCTTGATGTAAGTAAAGCCCAATGACTCAATTAAAGTAATGGTGTATGATGGATTTATGTGGACTAGGTCTTATTGCACTGGAAAATATCTTCCTCCAAACACTCCTGAGCAGGGTCTTATATGATTTGGATCTTTCTGCTACAAGTCACATATACTGGGAGAATGGCAGCTGAGATTGGTGTTAGCAGAGCTGAGATGCAACTTACAAATATTTCCAGGGAAATCTGGTTTCTAACTTTCATTAGACTAAATTCAAAATCTTACAATGGTTTTGTGCAAGCTTAGGTTCTCCATATTTTTCCTGCACATATCCTGTGGGACTAAGAATGACAGGCATCTGCTTTGGTGAAGTTAGATGTGCAAGAAGACTACGGTGACAGGATTTGCATTCTTTCCTTATGCAGAAATGCAGATTTTCTTTTGAAGGGGAATTGTTAAAACCCAAGGAAGGACAGTTCTCTTTCTTGGTATAAAATGAGATATAATTGCGAACACAGGCCTGGTTTCATTTCACAGTCTAATATAAAAGCTCATTAGCTCAGAGAACTTCAACTGTCCCAAAGAGAGGCAGTTTATAGGGCCCTCCTTCGTTACACCTGTTTTCAGAACCACAGAATGGAATTTCTTTTTCAATCTCCCTCTCAACAGCAAGGATGTAGGAAAGGTTATTATGTTGCTAAGGGAAATGCACCATCACATCATCAAAAGCCAATATTATTGACTGACATTATTTGGAGAGGGTTATGTCTTGTAAAACCAGTCATTCACATTACAACTGGAACAATAGTGCTCTCTCTTGGAGTGAGTGAAGGAGAAATAACAGAAAATGTTACGTTTTATATTATTTTTATTTCTACTAAATGCTGTGAAATGCACTTAACTTTTGCCTGGTCTGACCTCCATTTTACTTGAATTGCAAAGGAAAATGTTTCCTGGTTTGAAAACTGACTGAAAATGAAAGATTAAGTAATGCTCTCTGCCCTATTTTTCTGTTTCTTTTACTATTTCTACCAGACTTTTAATATAAAAAAAAATTCTTTATTGCTTTGTTAGAGCAACTATTCCACTTCAAATAAGTAATTTACAACCCATTTTGGGTTCTAGGAGCACCATTTCCTTCAAAAATAAAGACACTACAGTGTACTGTAGTGCACGCAACACAAACAGAGCAATGTTTGATTACCTCAGCATGAGAATTATTAAGTTAGATTTTCTTACCTCTTACACCTTTATCTGAGCTGAGCAGCCCATTTCTTTGTACATGTCATATCTTAGTGGTTTTCCAGGCACTGGGAGACTCAACTACTGAATCTGACTTAGAATGCTGAGCAGACTTCAATGCACATTTAAAGTGGTGTTCCAAAGAAATGAAGATGTGTACCCTGGTATCTTGGCACAAAATTGGTCAATTTCAGCCAAATCCGACTGAGATGGGTCTTAAGAGTGTTAAATCCGAAAGAGGAATAAGAACCAGTGAATAGCTGATCACTGATATCCAATCTGTACCTCCACTGATGAAACAACTGAGCAAGCACAATCCTCAACCCTTCTAATAGCAAGAATCAGTTGGCTGCTAATAGTTAGCTGGTTGTACAGCTCTTGCACAAACGCTGAAAATATGGGGGGAAAAAAGGAGTTTCTTTTCTGGGCTTGGCCAGGTCTGAAGGACACTTATTTTTTGTGCCGGAAGAAGTTCAGGGCAGACAAAAACTTTCCATCATCAAACTTCTTTAATTCCAGTTACTCAGTTTTAACTTAGCATCATCACAAAGTGACTAAAGCTCAATCCAATCAACTGACTGTATGCACACAAAACGTGCAAATTTACTTGGGAGAGGGAAAACTTTAAAAGGGACATTCCGGTGAGTGTAACTTAGTCTGTATTATGACACCTACTGAGTCAATGGTGCCGAAAACCAAAGTTCCTCTTCCTTATCTAAGCAAACACCTGGCAAGGTGACCTCTTTGCTAGATGATGCAGCACTGCTCTGAGTACCTGGGTGGCCTCAGGAGACCTCTTCCACAAGTTAGGATCTGCCTAAGGCTATTCTGTGTCGCAGGGATGGATACCATGGCGTCAGCTGAAAAAGTGACACACGGCAACTCACTCGTCACAGCTTAAACCTCATGAAGTTGTGGACATTGTCCCAACATTTATTATTAACTAACACTCCAGGCCTGTGGCTTACACTTGACTTATGCCAAAACTGTTCTTTAACAGACCTTTAATGTCTCCTGAATCCTTGGAGAAACTAATCATCGTTTTGTTAAAAGATATACGTGAAATACAAAATAAAGAGAAAATCTGTTGATGACACACACACAGGAATGCACATATCCAAATGGGATAATGGATAACAATACAGCCTTACAAGTAACAGTTCACAGCTGTAGTCCTCTGGAAAAACATTCAAAACCAACATTGTATTCTAGGTATTTCTTGAAAATTGTATGGACGCAGAACATCTTGTGACATCATAGTAATTTGAAGAAAAGGAAGAATAATAGCACTTCACAGTAAAGCAGGTAACATGATAAGCCAAGATTAATAGACAATATTTATGATTAAATTAATTAACTGTACCTTGAAAAACAATGGCTCCTCAGGAAGGGGGCTAACAGGGAGGGAGGTTGTGCTACTGGCTGGACTCATGTCTGTACTCTGAAAGAAAAGCACACAGGAGTTTGCATTTTCAATCAAGTTCTATGGACAACTTTTTTACATTTTGGGGGAGGGTGAATGAAAGAGCTTGGAAACAGCACTGAAAAGTCAATAGAATTAGACTGACAACTGCAACCTGTACTTTATTTGCCTGTAATTAGTTCAAGTATTTCACTAATGGGTAAGTACTTGCATTTTATTTTGAATTAACTCCCCACTCAAAGACGGAAACACATGCACAAGTACACAAACACACAGTTCATATTTGTTCATATAGAAAAATTTATTCTTCTCGAAAGTATGACAAAATTTTAAATTACTTTTGGGATGGCTCAATAGTATATTTAGAAGGAAAAATTAAGAGGAAAGCAATATATTTCAGAAAAATATTCTGTTCAAGGATTAAAAAAAGATCCTATTCACGTGAGTCAATACACCTTACAAACAAGCACTAATACAAGAAAAGAAACAGTGAAGACCAAAGTTAATAAAAATAGTTCAGCATACTTCAATGGATCTGTCAAGTCAAAATGCCTGAAAGATTGACCTAGAACCCCCACCCTCTTCAGATCATATTTCAGTAACTCATTGGTTAGCATAGTCATTATTTTTACAGATGTGACATATTAAAACAGAGTATGTGACTCCTAATAATACAGAATGATAATAACAGAAGAACAAAATCTGGAGTTTAAAAAAATATATAAACAATATCAGAATTGTTCCAGAGACAACTAGAATAAGACTACTTCTTGGGGAAAAAAGTCCATAAGTGCTAAAATGAAAAAAAATCTACCATGACCACCAATAAAAAAGAAATTAAGAATATTTAAAAAAAAGTCAACAAGTTTGCATGACCTAGTAGTGCATTCCTTTTCACAGTGTAGCATTGCAATGTAGAACGATTTAGTAAATTCAACTTGTGCACTTGACTAATCCAATACCTCTTTTTGCATAACTATGAATCAATTCTAAATCCTTTGATAAATGCAAATTCTGCAAGTGAAGCGCACCACTCCACCCAGTAATTTCTAACAGCTCATTCATCAGAAGATGTTTATGGAGAGACACTGCATTTTACTCAGCCAACTGGTAGGGGATGATGAAAGACAAAATTTTGGGTATGAAATCTCTGTGGCAAATCCAAGACAGGGCACAGAGACTTCAAAGTTAACACCCTCTGAGAAAATGTGAATTAAATTAGATACCTATCAGTTACACCATAGCTGAAAGAAAAGACAACAGTTACCTGCTAAATAACAGGGATGCAAGTAAATGAGAAAGAAGGGGGTCATGGCAATTACATCTTAAGAAAGAGACAGGTAATTTATAACCTACAGAACAGAGATGATGTTGAGGAATAGAGATTACAGCATGTCAGAAGGCCAGTACCTTTGTAGAATCCACTGTATTCAGAAACATTACGAATTTTAACTTGGACTCCTGCACCTGATCATCAAGAAAACTAAAAAATAATATTTACAAAATGAAGTGGAACTTAGATGTTCTACATTAAACACAGAGTGCAGACAAAACTAGACACTTATGTGGGAATGTTTCACCACAAATGCCAGCAGCTCAGCAGAAATTTTCCTTTTAATTTACATAGAATAGAAAAAAAGAAACCAAACTAAGATGGGAAAGAAAAATCAAGGATCTGATTTCCAAGCCAAATCAAATGCCCTAATTTGTAATCAGAAGTGTGCAGACCCATCTTTAAGCATTGAAACAGCATCACTCCGAAAATCTGCAAAGCATGAGCTGCACGTTGTTCAGGGATAGCTGGGGTCTAAGGAAGGTTTAACAGCCCTGAGGATGACGCTGGTGTTGTCACAGAACATCTCAGGGCACATCCACAGGGTGGCCTCAGAAAAGGATCTGCTCTTCTGTGCTGGCTGGACAGGAGCCAGCGCAGGTCTGATGTCACACTGCACCAAAAGGACTGGGGGGGAGGGAGGTTGTGTGCATTAGGAGGGGCGCCACGACCAGACTAGCTTCTGGACTGAAAATAATTTGAGTCTGGACAGACAGGAGCACTGGCAGAAGAGCCTGTGTCTGCCTAGAGCTATCCACATGTACATACTCTCAGTGGCCCCTTCAACACCTTCAGTAATTTTCCTCTCCAAGGAAAGCAGAGCAGTATCTGTGCCTGTGTAAATTAATTAAACCCAGTGGCACTAACACAGTTTATTATAGTGGAGAATTGAGTGAGACAGTACCAAAAGGGTTGTTTCTTGAGCTATTAAAAAACCCAAACCCTTACAAACTAATCGCTGCTATGAAAGATGTTGATAGCTTGCCCTCCTGAAGCAATATACGAAGAATTTCAAACAACATCACACTCCCTGCTTAAATTTCCTTTCTATGGTGTGTTTATCATAATCACACTTTGCAGTCTAAAGCTCCCCATACATATATTAAAAAAAAAAATAAAAAATCACTGTGAGGAATTTACTCAATGGAGACTTTTTATTTGATCTTGTCTAAACCAATTGTGTTCTCATAAAAGCAGCCACTCTCTTCAAGTCCAGCACAAACTTGATAGGTTTTGGTTATAAATTAACAAGATGCTATACCATTAGGCTATAATTATATCTTGTAAGTCATTGCAAATGCTAAATAAACATAATCTGTATCTTAATTCAAAATATTAGGCAAAATTAGGACATCTCATTTTGCAGTACTTTGCTGTGCAACTATAATTTTAATATGTATTTTTTATGCACAAAATGCACAGCTGGGTTTTGTTAACTGAGCCTTTTCCATGTGTCACTGGAAATCTCTCAGTTTACCAGAGGGCAGAAAATTTGCACAGCTTTAATCACCTAAACTACATTTTCAAAATATCTGAATACCAAGCAATTCAAGTATTTCTCAGAACAACAGTTTAGAAAAATACTGTCTTGCCCACACCAAAAAAAGCCCTGTGAGCATTTCTCTCAGTGCTTCCTTCTAGGTAATTTTTTTGTTTTGTTTGGAACAGGCTGTTAATATCCAGAAAACTGACATTATTAGAATTTTGTCAATAATTCTTCCATGATTGCAAAGATCAATGCTCGAGTCTTATTCTAATTTCTAGAATCAGTCTAAATATACATCATCCTTATTGTGCAGCTGAACAGGTACCTTGGAGTCACTGATAGGCCATGCTAATCATTCATCCTTGGAGAGCAACGTTAAAACATTGATCAGGAAGCTTCCTGATAATGAGGCAAAGGAAGAAAACAAGTCTAAGAATACAAACTTTTCCCATTTCTACATCCATTTTGGAGATCCAAGGTCAGGATCCTGTTTGAGGACATGTTCTCACCATTTGAGCTAGATCAAAATAAAAGCAGATGTTTCTAGAGTTCTTTTAACGTAGTTACAGGTTTGGTTTTGTTTTATTCCACTCATCTCTACTTTCCTCCAAAGCAGAACATTTCACAAAGCTATGTTACAATGTAAACTGTCTAACAGCAGATTAGAGAATGTAGTCTGTGGTTCTCCGCAAGAAGGTATGTGCAGAGTGTTAAAAACACTCTGAAACCCTTGAAAAGGACTTTTTTTTTTTTTGAAGAGTCATTTTCCAGTCTTCAGCAACTCTTCTATAAATGAGAGCAGATTCAACTCTGAAATTCAGATTTTTCTTGCTACAAATCTTTGCCTTTAATCTGATGTTCTTTAGGAAGTGGCCTATCTATCAGCCTTTGTTAACTGTGCCATAAAATAAGGACCATCCACCAAGAGAAGCCAATTTAATTTGCTACAGCTGCCTTTTGATGGGTAAACACGGCAGTGGTAGCTGGCACACACTGCCTTCTCAGGAGATCAGTACAGCAATTTATTGATCTGAGGAGTTAATACTGACAGAGAAAACCTTCAGTGGATATTAGAGCTAGAGATCCAATAAATCTTTATAATAACTGAAGAAAAGACAATCTGTGTACTTTATAGCTTTTTCTAAGGGGTAGTGGATGAGTGTTGAAGTGACTTTCAGAGTGATAGTTTTAGTTGTATCATAAGTTATGTCAGAAAATATCATTTTATAATCTAGAAGTTGAGTAGAACTAGGAAATTAAATAAGTGTAGTCAGCAAGCTCAGTAGTGACATTTTGATATACTGAGGGTAATCAAAGACCTGCAAATGGATTTATTAATGGGTCTGCACAGCATCTTTATGAAATATTGTACTTAAATATCATTATCCCATTTTATCCATGAAAGTGAAAAAGAAGGAAAAGTGATTTGCTCACAGCTATGAAGGGAGGTTAAAAACAAAGACAGAATCATCCAGTTACTCATCCAGGGTGTGCAATGCTCTCCTACACACTTTTGGAGTGCTCTGATTTCTGTAATTTCTGTATTGTTTAATGTCATGAGGAGGTTTTGGTCATACATATACTTCCTGCAAATAAATTTCCTATAAAGAACTGAGGCCAGAAAAATGAGAACTACTTTAGATTAAAAAAAATGGTAGAGACACAATAAAAGCTTTCACTTCCCACCCTCCATCAGGTTTGAGTAACATCCCCCAACATCTCCCATCTCTCTCACTAAGAATGGAGTGAGAGCCTCCTTAAAATGTGTTTTGCAGTATCTATGAATACAGTTCAGGTGGTTATTTATAAATCCATGTCATGTCTCCTTCCTTAGAAGATACAGTTAAATATTCTAATTACTAATGCATGCAATTAACAGCTGAGACATTTAAGTATTATTTTCCAGTATCTGCCCGGAGCTGGCTGCTCCCATAGCTAGGAAGGCTGCATGGGTCTTGCATCTGACCTGAGTTATTGTAGCTCCCATTGCAGGGGTGAAGCATAAATTACAGCTGCTACTGTGTCTTGCTACCTCTTTTTATGCTACATGAGGTACAGACGGCCAAGTAGGTTTTCAGTGGTTCAATTACCCACTGATTCTCAATCAGCAATTAGTATACAGGCACACAGATTAGTCCTGATTCCTCTCACAATCTAAGCAAAGGCAGTCACCTGGGGAAGCTGGGAAATCTCACCTCA